TCAAATAACTCCTTTTGCCAGAGCCGCTTTAATTGAATTTCTCGTGCTTTCTCTTTTCACCGGGCAAATGAGTAAATTGCCTCCCCACGGTACAAGCCCGGCCGGCCCCGCCCGTGCTCCGGGGGGGCAGAGGGTGCCCTTCGGCCGGGCTGCTGCCGTGCCGCCCTCCCAGACCGGGCTGGTCGCGGAGCCGTCACTTATCCCTGCCGCCCCCCGGGGACCGGCCCCGCTCTGCCGCCCCCCCGGCCCGGAGTCGGGACCGGGCCCGGCGGGGGGCGGAAGGGGGAACCTCGGCTCTGGGACGTGGGGTGGAGTCGTCCCAGCCCCCCCACCAGGCTCCCTCCCCCGCTCCGCAGCCCTTCCCGGAGTGCTGCGGAGGCCGGGGATAACTCGCCCCCCGGTTATCCTGCTGCCCGCCACTTTGGCCGGCTCCGGATGGCCGATCCCCGCGCAACTTGTGCGGGGGATCATGGCTCTCAGCGGTACGTGCCCCGTCCGGTCGGACGGGAAAAGAGCAGAAAAAAACCGGTTACAAACACACGCATTTCTATACGTGTGCAGCAACGCGCCTCTGCATCCACTGGCCGTCGCCGACCCCCGCACGGTGTGAGCCGCATCTGGGATGCGAGCAGCGGGTGAAATACGGAGCCTGGGAGGACTCTGGAAGATACGGGGATGCTGAAGCACGAAAACCCTCATCGCATACACCAGGTGCAGATAGCCCAGAGAGGACTGATACCAGCACACAGCAAATAAATAGTAATAAATAAATTATAAAATACAAAATAATAGAAAGAAAGCCCGAAGGCTCCCGTCTTGGGTGTGGTGTGCTCTGCTCCCCCATCGCTGATAGCGTTCCCCTGTTAGTCAGGTCCCTGTCCCAGGGACCCCACGCCGTTCTCGGCATCCTGCCCGACCCCAGGGAGCCGAGCAACACCCCGCACCGCAATGCTGCATCGGACTGGAGACACTGGGCTAGGAGAGACCGGGGCGCAGATGTTTGAAGGGACCTTTATTTAACTGCGTGAAGCCCCTGTGAAAATGATGGGGCGGGGGGACGGGGAGGGAACGGGAATGGGAATCGTCTCCGTCCTGGACGTGGCCCGCGACCACGGCTTTCTCGTGCATCCCGGACAATCGATTTAGTAAAATTTGTCACCTGACAGATAGTGTATCCCACTTTTCCTCCCTCTCCGCCCCCCACCTTCGTAACCCGCGGGAACACCGGGCTGCCGGGAACAGAGCTCCTGCCGGACCGTGGGGCCGTGGGGCTCCGCGGTGCTGCTCTCCACGCGTGCCGCCCAGCTCCGTGCTCGCTTCCCCAGGGCTTCGCCGTCTGCCAGCGGGGAGATTTCTTTTCCCTGGTCCGAGCGGGCGACTGAGGCCCCTGCCACCAGGTCTCCCCGGGCCGGCGGGCGGGGGAAGGAGGGGACAGATATGTGGTGGGTCGGCCCCGCTGTGTCTTGGGGGCGACTCTGGGCTCTCATCCCCGTCCTCGCCGCCGGGTCAGCGCCGGCACTGGAGGACAGCTGCCGCTTTCCCCTTTGTCTCTCTCACTCCCTCCTCTCCCTTTCTTTGCACCCGACCCTCATCTTCCAACATCCCCTCGTCATTCTTCGCTTTTCTTCACTCCTCCTTCGACCCCCGCCTCCTCTCGCCCCCAAGCTTTCCCCAAGCTCTCAGAAGCAATCTGTCCTTCCGCTTTCCCCCCTTCTTCCCCCCTCCCTCTTTTCCCCCTTCTTTCCCCTCTCCTCCCGACGTGTCTCCTTGTGGGGCCGCCCCCCTCCGCCTTCCTCGGCCCCGCCCGGGCTCCTCATGCGAAGGCCTCTCGGAAGAGTGTCGGCCAGGCTACGCATTCCCGACCTCGGGCAAGCTGGCCTGGGCCTTCATCTTGTCTGCAATGGGATCTTCAGCACGGCTCTCTCTCCCCGTGCCCTCTGCAAGAATGACGGGGTCCTCGCGGTGATGAAAGCCAGATTCTTTCACCCGCTTTTGCCTCTTCCAGCAGCAATGCCTCCAGGGATGCAGCCCGCAGGGGTTTGCCCCTCGGGGTTACAGCTTGGAGGGGCACAGCCGGGAGGTGGCATCCCAAGTGGGGCGGCTCTGAAAGGGTGCAGCAAAGGTCATCAAAGTGAGGGTTCAGCTCAGAGGGGTGCAGGGAGCGTTCCAGATGGTTGCATCCTGGAGGGGTCCAGTCCTTGACGGATACATCCCAAGAAGCTTCAACTTTGAGGGGGTGCTGCCTGGGAAGGGGTTCAGCCTGGAGGGGTGCTGCCCTTACGAGGTACATCCCAGAGGATTTCAGCTATGCGGGATGAAGCTGAAAGGCTGCATCCCAGAGGGGAACATCTTGAGGGGTCCAGTCCTCAAGGGGCATATCTCAGAGAAAGTCCAATCGGTGCCTCCAGCCCTTGAAAGCACCGCAGAGGGGCTCGAGGCAGCCACCAACTCTGGCCCAAGCAAAGATTCCATGCAGGTTACCAGCCTGGGTGCCATTGCCGGAGGGGCAAGGCGAAACGCGTCTGGGTCAGGGCTGCGCCCGAGGACCAGCTCCAGGACTACTACAAATCCCGGGAACGGCCCTGCCCCAAACCCCTTCGGACCTCCATGGGAAGCTGTGAGACGGCAGCAGTCTGTCCCGGGTGAAATGTCGCTGGCGCCAGCAGGGGGGAGAGGGGGAAGGGGGGGCAGCTCTGGGCCGCTGCCGGCAGCGCTGAGTGATTCATGGCCTCGCCGAGAAGACTGTCAGGGGCGAGATTTTATTGTAGACGGGAAAGAGGGGAAGGAGGGGGAAAGTCACAGGCTTGCGGCAATAGTTACAATGAGGAGGGGGTAAGAGGAGACGCAGCTCTCCCTCCCAGCGAACACCCGGGTCCGAATTATCACCCTCAACTTCCTCTATCCCCCAAAAACTCAGCCTGGGCACCATGGAAACAATAATTTATTTAAATAATCTCTGCTTATTGTAAAAGAAACATTAATGAGTGTATAAGTTTTCCATAATAAATAACCAAAAAATACCGTTTTGTTTTTTTTTTTCCCACGACGCTAGACATGAAACAGATCAGGGGCATGTCAGTGGCTAGGTTGGCGGCAGGAGAAGAGCAGAGGGGGGCAGAGAGGAGAGCTCGCTGCGGCTGGCGCCCGACACGGGAAAGCCCCGTCGAGGCCCGAAACCAGTCCGGAGGCAGCACACGGGCGGGAGCTGCACGGGTACCGCCGCCTGCGACCGGCCCCCGCCCCCGCCGGACTGTTTCGTTCACAGCTAAAAGGGATACCTTAAACACGGGAGGCTTCTGTTTTAAATCTACATATAAAAATTATTTATCTTTTTTTTTTATCGTTTTATTTTTTAATCCCCAACAACGTGAGGTTATCCGCAAAGGCACCTATCAACTTTAAAAAAATAAAAAGTAAAGTTAACCAGAGTTCTGCACCGGTGGTTTGATGAAAATGCCGGGGAAGAGGAGGAAGGTGGACGGAGAGGAGAGAGGGAGGTGAGTACTTGATCCGTAGCGTGGTTGTTTTCACGGCGGGAGGGAAGACCCCACGGGGCCGAATGCACACGGGCCCCGCCGGCGGCGGCAACGGGGCGAGACGGGGCGCGGAGCTGTTCGTCTCCGCCGGGACGGCCGGGGCCGGAGCCAAGCTTCACCAAAACACCAGTGTTGCGCGTCGGTGCCCCGCGGCTGCCGGGCGCGGTCCGCGGGCTCAAGTCTCTACAGCGCCTAGAAGATGCTGCCGCTACCGTGGTGATGCGGGGGCTGTGCCGGCTGCGGGAGGGGAGCGGCCGCCGGCAGGTGCGCCGGGCCGGCGGGGCCCGGCGGGTACCACGAGTAACTACCGAGGAAGGCGGCGGCGGGGCTGGGGCTGGCGGTGCCGGCGCCGCCCGCGGTACGTGGGTGCGGAGCAAAGTCCCAGGCGGGGGGCGAGGAGGGAGACGGCGGCGAAGAACTGCGGCGAGGAGGCGGCTCCGCTGGGATCTCTCCGCTTTTCCACATCTTCTTGAACTTGGAGCGGCGGTTCTGAAACCAGATCTTTACCTGCGGGGAAAGGGGCGTCAAGCGGCCGCTGCCTCTGCGGCGCCTTCCCGGCGCCCAGACCGCCCGCAGCGGGGCAGAGACACGCAGCTTTCGCAGCCCCGAGCACTCCCGGCGCTGCCGCTTCGCTCGCACTCCCACCCCAGGCCGTCGAGGCGCCATGGGCCGGCCTTCCTCCCACGCTCGCACTGACTCCGCGGAGGGCTCCCGGCGGGGCGGCACGTGCCCGGAGCCCCACGGCGAGAGAGCCTTACCTGCGTTTGGGTGAGGCCGAGGGAAGCCGCCAGCTCCGCTCTCTCGGGCAAGGCGAGGTACTGGGTTTTTTGGAAGCGCCGCTGCAGAGCCGCCAGCTGGAAGCTGGAATAGATGGTTCGGGGCTTCCTCACTTTCTTCGGCTTCCCGTTCACGATTCTGATCTCCGGCTCGCAATCTTCCTTCTCTGCTGCGGCAGAAACGGCAACCCCAGTGAGACGAGGCGCCCCCGCCACCCCGGGCCCTGCTCGCAGCTCGGCATCCCCGCCCGCCCCATCGGGACGACCCACCGAGAACGAACTCTCTCCCGCCCCGTGTCCAGAGTCCCGTTCGCCTCCCCGCCAGGCTCACCGAGCCGTCTTCCACGCGGGGCTCGGACGTACCGGAGTCGTTGTTGGCTGGAGAGGCCCTGCTGCCGTAGGGCCCGTAGGAGCCGTAGGCGCCCCCGTAACCCACGTCGTAGGCGGCCTTGGCAGAGTAGGGGGCGGTGCCGCCGCCCGCGTAGGGGTAGGAGCTCACGGGGCCGTAGGGCGGCCCTCCCGCTGCCCCGTGCTGCTGGTTGGTGTAGTAGCTGCTGTCGGTGGCCGTGGAGACGGGCAGCGTGGGGGACTCCTGCGGCTTGTGCAGGCCGCCGTGCTGGTGGTAGCTGCCGGCGGAGATCTGGCTGGTGTGCATGTCCGGCATCAGACTCTCCAGCACCCCCGTCATCCCGCGCCCCCGCCCGCCGGGGCACGGGTCGCCGCCCCGCGGCCGTCCCCACCGGGGACAGGCGGTCAGAGCCGCGCCACCATGCTCGCCACGCTCCGCCCGGGCGGTGCAGCCGCGCTCCCGCCGCCGCCCGCGGGACGGACTGTGCGCGCCGCGCGCCGCCGGGACGGCATTTAACACCGGTCACGTGGCGCGGCGTACGTCACCTAGCAACAGCCAATGCGGAGCCCGCCCGCGCCGGCTCCCCGCGGGCTAGCGGAGTGCGGGACGGGACCGGCGCCTGGCGTGGAGACGAGCGACCGCGGGGTCGCCGGGGACCGGGACCTTCCCCGCCGTACGGCTCAGACTGCTGCCCCTTTGGTTGGACGGGGCGGTCCGATCCGCACCAGCGAGGGCTCCGGGCCGCGGCTCAGCCCGGCCGCTTCTGCCATGCTGTCTTTGGTGTGTGTGCCCTCGTCTGGCCAGCAATCTAGGGAAAGGCCCGCGCATAGGTCCCTCCGGGGACCGATGCGGCATCCCCATCCGAGCGCACCTGACGACGGGCGCAGCTGGGCGGCCGCGTCTGGGGGTCAGCTATTCCGGCCCCGGGAGAACGTGCACATCACGGGAGATCAGTAACCCGGTGTCTGTGGCAGAGCTTTCCAGTGAAATCTCCGTAACGTTACACATGGAGGGGCGACATTCCTCCTAGAACACGTGTTTTGTACAGCAGTTGCTGACGGCGCCCGCGCCTGTTGCAGCCCAGAATGGCGAGGCCGGAGGTGTCAGGAGGTGCCGCCTGTTTCCCTGCCCTGTCCGCTGGCGGTTCCACCAAGGCCGTCGGGGCCGGCTGTCGGTCGGGCGCGGCGGCGATGCCCTTGGCCGCCCTCTGCCGGGGGCAGCGCCGCGGGGCAGCAGCCGGAGTAGTGTGTCAGGTGCGCTAAATAGCGCTTCGGAACCGATTTTTTTTCTGATATGTTATTTCCCTTGCTTGGCTGTCCCGCCGCGGATCCGGGCCGCCTGCCGGGTAGCGCGTTCCTTCCGCAGGGAGAAGGCCCCGCGCTGCCCGGGGCTGCCGCGCGCGGGTGCGCTCGCGTCCCTGCGGGAGTCTCACGTGCGTTCAGCGCGGACAGGGAGGGAGGCGGAGGTGCGAGGGTGGCTGCAAGCGTTACCACAAAAAGCCGCTAAAAAGTTAAAAGAAAAAAAAATAGAGAAAAAAAAAAAAAAAAAAAAAAAAAAAAAAAAAAAAAAAAAAAAAAAAGAAGAAAAAAGAAGCGGCCGGCCGCCGTCGTGTTGTTTGCGAGGGCCGGGGGTACGCGGTGTACCTGGCTATCCCCGCGCGCCCTGAGCCAGCGCGTGCCCCCTCAGCACCTCTCCTCGCGCTCGTCTCGCCCCGCCCGGCGGGGGCCGCTCCCTCACGGCGCCGGTGCCCGACATCCCGCTCCCGCCCCGGGCCGGCCTCGCCCCGGCCTCGGCCGCTTTGAAGAGTACCGCGGCTGGAGCCTGTCCGTCTGTGCCTGCGGGGTGGCGGCGCTGCGGCGAGCGCAGGTGAGCGGGGCTTGCCCTGGTCGTCTGCCAGCGGCAGGTGAGGCCGGGAGTGGGGCTGCGGGCAATGGGGCGCTCGGCTGAGGCGGGGCTGAGCCTGGGGCGCGCGGACTCCGCGGAAACCGAGGTGCCCAGAACCGGGCGTGATAACGCCGAAACCTGGCGCCCGGCCCTGCTGGCCACCGGGGCCCGGGGGGGCCGGAGCAGCCGCGGTCACGGAGAGAGCTCGGTGCCCGCAGTAGCGGCTCTCGTGCTGCCGACTCTCCCAAATGTAGCTGGTGCTTAGTGCAAAAGAAAACCACTTTCTGCAATGCGCAGTGTGAACGTACTGCTGTCCCAAGTGGCAGATATCTGTGTAGGACTGTTTCTGTCCATCGCTGGATGAGGGCCGGCAGTCTGAAACAGCCGCTGGCTGGCGCGGGATAGGGGCAGACAGCGTTTGGTGACTGTCAGCAAACAGCGGGACAATCTACCCTTCATTAGTCACGTTCTGAAGCGTGTGAGATGGTTTAAAAAATACAGAGGAGAAAGGACATTTCATGTCACACTGAGGATTTAATAAAGAAAAGGACTTAGTCGGCAATTTGTCTTGCTATGTGGCAATTTGTATTTTTAAATGAAAGTAAATAGTGCTATATAGCATGTACATGGTGATCTGTACAAAAAGTAAAGGACATGATTTTGTTTGCTTCAGTTTACATTAATAGTCTTTCTTGTGCAAGTTATTCCTCATAAGTTGATGCAGGGCTCACAGATTTAAATGACTTGTGAAATGATAGCTGCTCCAGAGTCTTATGGCTTTGTTTCTGCAGTTTGTTTTGCCAATGTGGAGGCGCAGACTTGCTGGAATGACCAAGGGGGAGTTACTTTTTCATGTATTCACATGGCTGATCTTGTAGATCTGATTTTATTATTTCTAATTTATTTGGACTTTTCTCATGAGATGGTTGTTTTTAAGCACCAACTTGCATAAATAAAAGCATGATTAAAGGAGAGATGGCATCCGGCAGCAGGAAGGAAGGAGAAAGGCTTGTTTTAGGTGGGAGATGACTACCATGAATGTTTTACAACACACTTCTCTGAATCAGTCATAGTATTTTTGGGAGTTAAAAAAAAATAATGACATTAAGCTGGTCACGTGTTTATGTGTTTTCATGTTCTCGTGTTGAGCTAACAATTATAATTTTGATTTTTTTGTTCCCTGCTTTGGGAATTGTGAATGTTACATGGCTGGGTAATTAGAAAACACCCAGAGAGACTGGGGAGTGAGGGAAAAATCAGAGGAGAGTAGCAGTGTTGTGTGTACCTGCTGTTAATACTCGGCAATCCTGCTTGGTTTTGGTGTAATAGATCATGCCTTATTATTTATATCCTGTGAGAAGGAGTGTTTGTATGACAAAATACATATCTTATGCACATTGGTCATTCAGCTGCACACGGGAGAAGGATACTTGCCTTCTTGCTGCAGAGCAGTTCAGTGGTCAAAAGTTTTGGTCATGAGGTTTATATGAATATACAGCGCTTATTGCCAGAGGCAGCAAAACCATTGAGCTGGCTTTGTTGTTGTTGACTTGTTTGTTTTAGAAGCATCCTCATGCTGACTGCGGACATATTTCGTTATCAAGTATGGTAAACACAGTGTATGTATAAACAGAAGAGACGACCATCAGTCTTCAAAAGCATCATCTCCAACTGATCAGCCTGTATTAACTTTTTATTATTTAAAAAAAAGGCAGTTGTAAATAATTCATAGAAATTGCTGTGGTAACTCTGGGCTGGTATATTTTGTTTAATTCTTTTATTAACTATTATTCCTTCTCTTCCTGAAATAGACTTCATCTGAGAAAAATGTGACAAGCACTTAAGGGATGGTATCCTGACTCTATATACGTGGTATAGATTTAACCAAGGGATCAATGGAACGAGTTGTTACATGTTGTTTCATCTCAAGTTTCACTTGAAGAGAACTGCACTTAACATTAAGAATGAGGTTAATTTTTAATCTGCTGTATTTCAAAATATAATTTTACCCATTACGAGCCACATTTGGCTGAACCATTTCACTTACTTCAGCAAGAATTCGGTGAATCTTAAGAGATGGGCCTGTTATTTCGGATAATACTGCACAAAAGAAATTGGACAGTAGTCTCTACTGCAGTAGCATGTTAACAAGTATGGATTTCTTGCCATGGCTAAGGGAAATGCTTTCCAGTGATATAATGCATGGTATAGTCTTGAGTGTTTGCCTTAATAATTGAGGAGTAATATAGATCATGTGCCAGATGAAGCTATGAGGAGGGTTTATGCTTGCATTGTACCTATGAAATCTGGTATTGCACTCAAGTATGATGGTAACAGTTCAGTCTTCCTTTTCTGAGGGATTAAGTGTATCAGCTTTTGGGAAATTGTACCAATCTTTTCAACACCCTTTGGTAAGCTTGCTACCTGCTGTGCTTAGTTTCAGAATCCAGCGTTATCATTTTCCCCTCTAAAAACTGTTTATTGTCTCATTCATCTGTACATCAGATTACTTCATTCCAAAAATCACATAACTCTTCTTAGAAGAATATGCCCCCTTGTGTGGCTCCCTGAGGATTCCTTTCTTAGCCCCTTGTTGTAAACAGCTTATACAAGCGTGACATGAAACATGGGTTCTGTAAAATCCTTTCAGAGTTGTTTATTAAGCTGTCTTGGTCTCAGATTATCTTTCTCAGTGATGATTCACTGGCAGCTCAGCACCTTTCTTCAGCGGAAACCTTTGCAGACTGGAGCACAAACTGTGACTTTTAATAGTGGATTAGTCTGCTGTTATTTAGCACAGGTGTTTCTCAGTTGTTCCCTTGTACAATGTTGAGGAAGTGCACAACCTGATGCATTGGGCTGAATGTCTAATAGCAGCACATTCTTGGGTCTAATAATTGCTAAAGATGCTTGGTGTGGGAAGGCAGGTCTGTGTGCAGAATGTGAAGGCAGTAGAGTGGCAGTCCTTGTGGGTTTTGGGAATAAAGCAGAGCATGCCCAAACAGTCCCTCTTGCCTCCTTTAAGACTGAAATTCTACCTTGATCTGTGGCGGGGTCTTTGGATGTGTTCCCATCCTCTCTGGGGGTTCCAGGTTTTTTGTTTTCTTTACCAGATGTATTGTAAGTAATACTACTGACAAAAATAAAAAGCTATGTGCTTTTTTTTTGTGGGTTTTTTTTCGATTTTTTCCCCCCTTAACAGAATGAGATTGGTAGAATATCTAGAAAGTAATCTTTTTAGTAGTGTTCTGTGGGAATGTTAACTGGCCAGAAGCTGGGCAATCACAGCTGCAGGTACATGTATACTCCAGGGCAAGTGCTGTGAGCCCACTATATAGTGGATCTGAGCACACTCAGGTTCAGTCAATAGGTAAATCTTTGTCGAAAGTGTTTTGTGTGTGAATATTTAGATGAAAAAGAAGTCTTAGTACAAGCATGCATGAAAAATGTTTTCA